TCATAGGGAAAATGAAGATTCAGAGGTATTTAGTATGTTACACTTCAGATCTGTTGATTTGGGATTTTAAAATTTTTTTTTATTATTTATTTATTTTTTTTTTTAGCATTGGAATAGTTCTTCAATCTATGTCAGGTATTTGTTACATGTGGTTTTATTGCTAAACTGATATTTTTAAAACTTCCTTTGATTCTTTAGTAATGTATAAAAGATTTCCATTTTGGAAAGACTGATAGCCTTTTTAATCTATGATATTTGTGATTTTTAATATGGCTTTGTTTTACAAAGCATCTAGAAGGGCTATGTGTGGAGAAATGAAGGATACAAGTAACAACCAGTAAATACAGAGATATTTTCTTCAGTGCTAACTGTAACTATTGGTAAAATTTCAGAAATTACTAGGTATGTGCAGGTTTCTCTCTGAGCAGTGCAGAGATGTCTTGTTACATTGTACAGTCTGAGTAAACTTTCAAGCTTTACAAGTTATTTGGTCCTTTTTTAACTGCAATCTACAGCATAAGGTCTTTGAGGCCCACAGCTCCAACCTGAAAGCCGAGATGACAGGAGGGAGAGGAACATCTTTCCCTCATCTACACAGCAAGGACTTCCTTTCCATATGTAGGTGTTACCAGTTTTCTGTGGTACCAGACTGAATTCCTGCAGATGGCTTTACACAGAGTTGTCCTTGAAAATCACAAGTAAATTTGGCTAGTGGATGCTTCAGATGCTGTATTTCCCACGAAGTACCAAATCTGTCTCCATAAGGTATGGTGACTTCTTGTTAAATTCCTTGCCCTGTTAGTTACAATCCAATTAAGTGAACCTGTCTTCTTAATCTGTATTAAATCCCATACATCCAAGATACCGTCTTTCTCTTCACACTTACATAAGTCCCTGTCTGGTGAGTTCAGCCAGAGTGATTCAATCTGACATTGACAAATTAAATTAGGAGTCTGTGGATTTTAAATGGAGAGTCTGAAGCTCAGGAATTATGGACCTTTAACTTTGAAATGCACTTTTTTTTTTTTTTTTTTTTTTTGGCCTAGTGCATCATAAGCTTGTTGGTATGCAAGTCCCAGTACAGATTTATCTATTTACTCAGGTTGTTTCTTAGGAGACGATTTCAGGGAAATCAGGGGATTTCAGAGTGAGGGAGTTTTATCAAAATTAATCGAGCTGGATACAATTGGTGGGTGTAGGAGGATGTTGTAAATATTGTGTAGCATTTTGGCCTAGAGGGCACCCTAAGTACATTTTTGCAGTTAAGATATAAATACAGGAATGATTTGAAATATTATCCAGGGCTGAACAGTCATGTTGTTTAGTAAAGAAGACTTTCAGCTTACTTCTCATTTACTCTTTGGGAGCCTTTCCATTGCCATCAGACCACCAAATTTTGTCACTGGGTTTCACAAGAGCAGGTGCCTAGGAAGCGTCCAAGCTTTGGTACATGTATCCTCTCTATAAAGAGTGGAAACCCGATGCTTTTGGCTATTGTATGCCATTACTTTGAGGTTTTTGGCAAAAAAATATTTGCGAGATGAGTTGCCCTTGAGGAGAGACCAGATCCTGCGTCTTCTGCACCATGTACTTCCAATCTCTTCTCATAGCAGTCATCATGAAGCATTTCTGTTTCTTTAATGTTGAGTTATAAAAGCAACAAGTTACTTGTTTTTAAAAGTAGAAAGAATTAATCTTAGCTTATTAAGAGCTTTGTTATCCAGAGATGTAAATATGTAAACTGCTGAACGTCTGAATAAATCTGATCTGTTCATCTCTTCATGGAGTCTATAATTCTAGAGAGTGTAAAAAATTTACAAGACATCCCTGAATGCTGAATTTTGCATTGATTTAGATCTTACACTTGTTTGAAAGACATTTCAAATCATAACCAGGCAGATGCTTTTCTCCTCACTAAATCTTAGAGGAGAAATTCTGGTTATTTTAAAAGGATGTAAAATCACCTAAGTCTGTAAAATATGCTCAAGACAGTGTGATTTGAGTTAGGGGACTACAGGACGTTTGATGACTTGCAAAGGAAGCTTTCAAATTTCTGCAGATCCTTCTGTGTCTGTCTGTAAAAAAAAAAGAAGAGAAAAGGAGAGTAACCCCATATAATCATAAGTGTGTGTAGAAACTATTGCTAGTTTCTAAGTATCTGAGATGTAAGGTCAAAATTTCATGGGTTAATCCTTTTTAATTTTAATGAATCTACTAGTAGAAGGAACAGCTGAGCAATCAGACCTTTATGAATCTCCGCATATACTGACATCGATCCATTAATGTTCATTTCCTAGCAGTTGCAGCAAATAATTGTAAGTAATCAAAAATGTTAAAAATGTTATTGCTTTGTTTCTTACAGATAGGGTAAGTTACAAGCTTAAATATAAGAAAGGGGGTAAAAACAATGCTGTAGCTGGTACATGTTTTAAATAAGAACTTATGAGAAATGTTTACTTTGATAAGAGGAGAAAATATAATGAATATATTAGTAAGATTAAAATCCCTGTTTTGTCTGAACAGGCCTGCTAGATGATGATGTTGATGATGATTCTAAATCTTTGTTCATGAGCAAACAGTTCAATATCTACTACAGAGGGCTACCTATGCATGTTTTGCATGCCCACTCTGTATATAGCAGGTGGCTTTTGTAAATCATGACAGGAAAGCATCTGAGTGAGCAGAATAAAAAGGACTGTAGACAATTTATCAGATAACTGGTATATATTTCAATCTAATTCAGACAGGAACACATGAGCTTTCCACTTGTTTCCAAAGAAGAATAAAGTCATATAATTTTAGCAGCATTGATGCTTGCAGGATAGCTTTAAATGCCCAATAATTAATCTGAGAGTCTGCACAAGTTGACAGTCAAACTGACTTGTCTCTCTTGGTAGGAAGTAGAGAAGGGAGAAGCTTTTGGTTTGGGAAACCAAAAGTGGAGTTTCAACAAACCAGGTTTCAAGCTTCAGCCATCGCTACTCCAAAACAACCCCCTTTCAAACTGTTTTCTACAATACACTGCCCTTTCTCTTTACAGCTGACCAGAACTTTTCAAGTAGAAAATGTTGTTTTGAAAGAGCTAATTTTGATGAAACAGGAGTAGAAAAAAAATATTTAAGAAATACTGGAATAGAACTTCCATTTTAAGTCAACAATTATTTTATTTGAAGTAAAAACTGTTCTGCACTGTATAAAATGCTTAAAAAGAAAACAGAAAAAAACCACTTTGGTTGCCATCAAAACAGTATTTAAATCAACCTCCAAGTGATTTTTAAATTGTGTTAGATAGGAGTATAAAAATTGTTCACTTTTCCTCCATTTCACAAAGCAAAAATATTCAAAATCAGGTAATTTCCCATGACAAGCAAATACTGCTTACAAGCCAGCTCCAGCCTTGTTCTGTTTTTGCCCTGATTCCCTGCTTGTCTGATATCCTCACATCTCTGCAAAAAATGCAGTCCCACTTAAAGCCTTCAACATGGTTTACCAGATGATAAAGGTACTGTATGTTAAGAAATTTGGGAAGGTGGTAAGACCAGGAACGTGGGCTGTTTCTGCCAGGAGAAACATTAGATCTATGGGCCACAGCAGGATCGGGATGTAGGAATCAGGGACAAGAGGCAGTGGGATGACTTTGGCCTTTTTGAGGGGACAAAGGCATCAGGGCCAAGTGATGCTACTTCCTCATGGTGAAACCCTTTTTTCCCCCCAGAGTGGTTGAGGAAGATCAAAGCCACTGAAGTTCCGGTGCTCTTTCTCTAGCCTTTCCTAAAGCCTTTTGATATCCCAGATGTCTTCTTACGAGCCCTAGGCTTCTGCCAGTTCCTATCTACTCCCACCTGCTGCAGGGGTTGGAGAGACAGCATTTGCAGCCACATGACAGGGCATCAGGACCTGGTGACCTACTCTCCAGTCTCAGCAAAACTCAGACCATTGCAGGAGGGAGAACAGCTCTGTGTGGCAGCCATGCATGGGCCTCAGCAGAAAGATCTGTCTTTGTGAATGCCAGGTTAGAGGGGAAGAAGACTACAGGGTGTTATACACTGGGAAGAACCATTAGGAGCATTTGCAAATGCTTTCCCTGCCAAAGCCAGAGGAGCAACCCAGAACTTAAACACTGGAATGATATGGTAGCATGCTGCAGGTTCATTGTGTCAAGGGCAGAGACTGAAGTTTAATCATTAAAGCATGGATGAAGGGTTAATTTTCTCCTCTTTTTGTTCATATCTGAATGTCCCTTCAGACCTTGTCCTGGCAGAACTGTCCTAGGCTGGCCCTGGGAAAGCTCCATGCCCAGAGGCAGAGGACAGGCAGCCCCTGTGGTCCTGTTTTTCTCCTTGAGTGACCTGCAGGGAAAGGGGGCATCAGCAAGCCCCTAGGCTGGGTCCTGCATAGTAAACATACCTCATGGATAAACACAGAGGCAAATTACCAGCTGTGTGACAGTAAAAAAAGTGCAGATATTGACACAGGGATAAGACACTCCTGAGGCAGCATTTACTGCAAACCCTTCTCTGAACGAGCAATAGTTAAATGTTTGTCCTTGCTTCTTTCTTTCAAAAGTAGGGCAAATATCTATAGAGTTCCCAGTGGGGAGGTAATCTAACTTTAACTTTCATACAGTCAAGTAAAACACCCGAGACCTGTGTTAGGGATGCAAGCAGGTCGTCTGAATTATGATTATTCAATCTGGTATTATTTTAATCTGGCATGCCTCTCATGTGCTTCATTTAGGTTCATCTTGACCTGAAAACTGCAATCTCAATGCCTTTATGTCTTTATCCTTACAGGTGATTTATCTTGTTGCAGTATCTTTTTTTTCTTTTTTTTTTTTTCCCCTCACTATAAATATTTATTTTAATAGCGAAACACTGCCTGTGAGGCAGACCGGCGCATGTCACTGTCTCGGGTCTCCCGAGCATGGTGTGGGTCCCCTTCGAGCAGGAGCCTCTTGCTTTAACTCTCGGTCTTGCTAATTGAGGCAAGAAGGTAATGAATTAAGAGCCACGGGAGGTGAGATCCAACACCCACCCCTGCAGCCGCAGCGCGCTTCAGGTGATGCTTCCTTACTCGTTTACAAGACAATAGCCGAAGCAATTAAGGAGGGGGAAAAAAATGACTGATCCTTCTCTATGAGATAATGGATGAGCCCGGGATGACCTGTTTTTTTCCTTGCGGTAGAGCGGTGCTGAAGACAGAGGGCACCCGCGCCCAGCCCACAGCCGTCGCCCCGTCGCCAGCGCGCCAGCTCGGGGCGGCCGGAGAGCCGCCAATGCCCGCTCCCAGCAGGCAGGGAGTCACTGCCTCACCCGGCCAGGTACGTCTCAGGGGTGACCCTCCGAACGGACCGGGGACTCAGGCGAGGGGGTGCCTGTGCGGCAGGCAGGGCAGGCAAGAGGCACCGGGGAGCCGAGCTGCGGGGCTGCCTGTGGAAGGCGGCTTCAGGCGGCTCTGCCTGTCTGCGGGTGCGGACACAGAGCCAGGACGGCGGCTCCCCTCGGAGCATCGCCTTCCTCGGGACCGTCCCCAGCCGATCGCCGGCCCCGGCACTCCTGCCCTGCGCCGGGAAGGGACGGGGAGAGGCGGTCAGCCCACGGAGGTGCGTGCCGCCGCTGCTCACCGCGCCTCGGGGGGTGTGTGCGAGCCAGTGTGCGTGTGAGCGAGTGTGTGTGCGGGTGTGCCTGCGGGGACACCGCGGTGGCAGCGCAGGGCGGGGGGCAGAAGTTTTGGGTAAGCGCCTCGCTGTGCTGGCGGGCGGCCGAGCCAGCGGTGGCGGGACCGGGACAGCGGGACACTGGGATATTGGAGCACTGAGACAGCGGGGTGCCGGGACAGCGGGACAGGGAGGCGACGGGACGGGGAGACAGCAGGATGGGTGACAAGTGGGGTCGGGGCCCGCGGTCCCGCAGCTGCCACGGGTGCCGGGCTCTGTCCCGGGTGCTGACGGCTCGTGGTGCAACAGGGACTCGGCCCGGCCGCTCTCCCCGCTCTCGCGCGGCGGTGGCATCTTCCCTCCCCGTCACGGCATTTCAAACCACCAAGCCCTGCCACCGGGTTCACCGCTGCTCCCTGCCCGAAGCCTGTCTTCATGGCAGGAGTGCCCGTAAGGCACATCAGGACTTTGCCAGCAGTTGCCTTAGTAACTAAAACGTATTTTCACCTGCTTTCGTGTGTGTGTCCCTGGCTGAACTACTGTTTTGCCCCCTGCACACAAAAAAGTTAATCGAAACTGTAAAGTGGTTCCTTTCTTCTTCCCTTCGCTGACCTTTAAATGACATTTCCCGTGGCTGGCAGAGCAGACTGTTCGCTTTCTCTTTTTACCCACGTTATGTATTGAGAAAGGAAATTTCTAAACTGAGAAAGATGCCTTCAGGTAGTCAGAAAGAGAAAGGAGAAGCGCTTGTCACCCCGCTTTTAGGGGTAGGGCCGCTGAGGCTGGGCTGGGGCTCGGGCTCTTCCCCAAAGAACTGCCTACCCCCTGAAACTTTCAAAACTTCCCGGGGCGGAGGGTGGGGACTGTGTGCTGTCTGGAGGTGCAGGAAGTAACCTCCTTTTCTTGAAAAGCAGATGCAAAAGAACTGTAGAAACTCAGCATATGTGAATATGTACGGTCGTATATCAAGGCAAATAAATACATATTTTAATCCATGTTGAAGCTTCCTTTTCAGAGGCTTACCGAACCAAATTGCCCCGGGTGTTTGTGAAAGCGGTCATCTCAGACTGTGAGGGGTTGCTTGAGCTGTGGTTTGACATCAATTTCCCAGTTAGCCCATTTTATCACCTATTTCTATGCCACCAGGTTAAAAACCACTAGGATGACGGCTGTCTTGGCACCTTCGAGAGTGATACTGTGAGGATTCACTGTGATGGTATTTGGAGCGACTTGGACGTCGTCGAGGAGAAGCAGATGCCATTTCCTACATGTCCTTAAACCATGTGCAGGCAAGAGGAGCCCATGAAATTCGTAACCTGGGTCTGGATGACATCGTGCAACAAAATGATTGGCGTGCTGCTGGTCTTTTTCCCTGCTCTGCTCCTGGAGGTGGACGTGCTGCCCAGGAGTGCCGGAAGGAAGGTGCTTCTCTCTGCAGCGTCCTCACAGCGGTCGGTGGCTCGGATGGACGGGGATGTCATCATCGGGGCCCTCTTCTCTGTCCATCACCAGCCACCGGCTGAGAAAGTGCCCGAGAGGAAGTGCGGGGAAATTCGAGAGCAATACGGCATCCAGAGAGTCGAAGCCATGTTTCACACTTTGGATAAAATTAACGCCGACCCAGTCCTGCTGCCTAACATCACCCTGGGCAGCGAGATCCGAGACTCCTGCTGGCACTCCTCCGTAGCCCTGGAGCAGAGCATCGAGTTCATACGGGACTCCCTCATCTCCATCAGGGACGACAAGGACGGAGGCACCCGCTGCATTTCCGAGTCGCAGCCCCAGCCCCAGACCAGAGTGAAAAAGCCCATCGCGGGGGTCATTGGCCCCGGCTCCAGCTCAGTTGCTATCCAGGTCCAAAACCTGCTCCAGCTCTTCGACATCCCCCAGATCGCTTACTCCGCCACCAGCATCGACCTGAGCGACAAAACGCTGTACAAATACTTCCTCAGGGTGGTCCCCTCCGACACGCTGCAAGCCAGGGCCATGCTTGACATAGTTAAGCGTTACAACTGGACCTACGTCTCCGCCGTCCACACGGAAGGTGGGTATGGGGCATCACCCTGCCCCCTCGGGCCGGCCCCGGGGGCGCTGCGCCCTCCGCGGCGGCTCCGCAAGGACGCGCCGGGGATGGGTCACCCGCCGGGACCCCGCGGGGGGAGGCTCCTCCCCTACACTGTGCCGGGCGCTGCCACCCGCAGAGACCGTATGGGGAATGGGGAGAAGTGTGTGGGTGCGGGGATGCAGTCTGGCAGCGCAGGAAAGCCCGCAAGAGAACGGGCATCTCCCCGGCGGTCCCGTCCCCTCCCCGATACACACAGAGTGCTTCGCGTGTTTCTAAATAAAAGTTAACAGATGTGAGCAGCTGGATCTGGGGCGGACAGCCGCGGCGGGGCCGGGGGCTGTCCGTGGGGATGGCGAGTCTGTGGGCCTGACGCGCTCGATCTCTACCATTGCGGGAATTTTGGCAAAACGGAGTCAGGGCTCAGCAGGGACTCCTGGACTAGCTGCTGGCTTTGCTGCGTGGGAACTGATTTCCTGGGACTGCGAACACTGAGGAGAGAAACACGAAATCCCTCCGCAGTCCAGGTAGTCCCTGCAAAATCAGGACCCGTGGGAAAGGGCGGGTAGCCTGTCAGGAAGTCCAGGCAAGAATGTTTGCATGCAGCTTTAGCAATAGTAAAAAATATTGCTCTGTACAATATTTTCATACTCAACAGGTTACTTAATTTTAAATATCAAAAGAAAAATATTAATAGTAAAGGTATTTTAGAAAGGAGCCGTTGGTGTATAGCCAGGTTAGGTGCGCCAACACAAATTGCAGAAGAAATTGCATTTGATAGAAAAGGAACTCTTGTGATATATTATTGTGATATTTCTGCGGTCCAGTTGTGGTCCTCAAAATGGGATTTTTAAGTATACAAAATTGCAAACCTGACCACATTATTACTGTAGCTTTGCAACTATTCTGTTTATCTGACAGTATCTCTTGCATGGATTTGATTTATGATTCCCTCTGGTTACTGAGCTGACTCCACACCTTTCATTCTAACAGAGATGACTAAGTAAAAAGAGATAGGAACATATATTGTGATGAATAAATAAAAGATTCTCCAGGAATAGTTGCATATTTACAACATTCAAAGGGGAACTGGATTGATCTGAACACCTAAACCAAAAAGTGCTGCAGTTTGAGGAAGGGTGGGGGAGATGTAAGAGCTGAAGAATGACCTGACATTTGCAGTTCATTTATGCCCTGTTCAGAGGAGAAAACGAACTGCTACCAAGAGTCGGAAATGAGCTATCAAGATTCTCTATCTTTGACAGATAGGATTAGATCTTGTGGAAAGCCAGGATGACAAATAAACATGAAACGGGTAAATTCTTTGTTGATGTAAATAGCCATTTCTCCCTTCAAGGCACTTCGGGGAGCTATGCTAACTCACTGTGCCTGAGGAGCTGCCTCAAGGGGCCGTCTCCCTCTCTCTCCTACTCTCCTTAAAATTAGTGAGCCTTACCTCTTCTGGAAAAGACATTTATAAAAAAGATTATTATAAGTAGCAATTTCAATCATTACTTCTGAGAAATTTTAATTAGATCCCTATTTTTATGAATGTTACTGACTGATGAAAAATAATTGTTGCAAGATATTTTTAGACTTTGAAATGATCCTTTGGAAAACAGGCACAGCCCACAAGGCAACACTCTCCTTTTAGGAAAGGTCAAAAGGATTTTGCAGATAATGAAGCTTAGATTAATATTTGCTATTATTATTATTAATCTCTATCTTCTGTTCCTTTATCATTAGAGTCGAGCTACAACTTTCACTGGAAATATGTAGCAAACTTTAACTTCTGCTTTTCTTTCCAAACAGACGGGTTATTTACCCTCACCTAACGACTGCTGGGTAGATTACAAAGTTGTGTTTTTTTCCCCTATTTAAAAGGAAATTAGTATTCATGAAAATCTGTGTAAATTGTTACATTTCTGTTGTTTCAAATCCCAGGCATCCACTGTGAGAGATCTGCTTGCTGGTTTGTTAAAGGTGAGATCATTCTTTGCAGACAACACAAAGGCACTCTGAATAATAGTCTGTGTGAAGAGGAACTGCTCCACCCATGCTATGTTTGGAAATACAGGGATAAAGAGTAGTCAGAAACATTCCTCCTCCACAATTACTCATAGGCCTCAACACTGCCTTTATGGTGGGCTGCAAAATGTGCTGGGAGGAATTCTAGGGTATCACAGGTTGGAGAAGCTCTTCAGCGGGGACTGTGAAAAAGCAGCATGTTTCTAGGAAATGCATAGGTTGACACTGCAAAGAAGTTAATTCTCTTGCCCTCTGGGTACTCCGGATCCAATCTGGCCCTCTCTCTAGAGCAGCAAAGCTGCATAGTTCCCACCCAACCTCTGGTTCTCATGGGGATGGACAGTGCTCAGCTCTTGTAGGTGCCCAGCCACAAGGGGATGCAATGAGACCACTGAGCTGACTGACCGCCTCTGTCAGCGAGCCATGGTCCTCAGTCCTCACCGACACAGAGCAGGGTCGGGGAAACAGCCCAGAGAGACGAGCCCTTTCCCAGGCTGAACAATCCAACTCCTTTGTTTACCCTTCCTCTACTCCTGTAGTCTAGCTGAAGTTATTTGAATGCCCAAAACAATACCAGTGTACACGATTACAGCTTTAATTATAATCAGAAATAAATACCACACAACTTTTGAGCCATGTTAACATGAAGCCTACACATGCCATCAGGATGGACACAAAGAAGTCACCCATGTAATATGTTGTCTTTAAGTAGTTTGCATTTGACATGAAGATTTAATCTACACGTGTTAATATGATAATTGATTAATAGTGATGACTTTTAACTACATTCAGTCTTTACACTCTAGTACATGAAGTCGCATGGAGATGTGCCAGACCTGTTGGGGCTTTTTGCACAGCGGTTTGTTTATTAAGAAGTTTAAACACTATACTTGGGTAAAAATTCCTGAGTTAGTGAATAAAATCTGCTTTCAAAGGCCCACATTGCTCCTTTTAGATTAAAATTGACACATACAACTCCACATTAAAGAACAAAGAAAGGGGGGTAACTAAGTTTGATTATTTTGTTCTGTATCTCAGTTGAGCAGAGTTGCACATTATGAGATTGAATTTTTTCCAGAGTGGGCAGCAGTCATTAAATGATGCAAGAAATCTGTGCATCTTCTGGCAGAAGTCTGTTGACTGTATAGTAGCTGCACAGCATTTTCAAGGCTATTATTTTTTTAAGTTTTCTTCAAAGATAATTCAGTCTTGGAGTTCTTGGCATGTCTGCATCTCAGCTCTAAGGCTTTGAAGTCATTCTTATCTTGAAATGCACTTAAATGGATACTTAACTCTGAGCCAAAGCTTCCTGTGGAAATCAAAGGCATCAAAAAGCATATGTGCTAAATTGGATACAACCTTGAGCATGATAAGGACAGAAGGAGCTACACTTGCTAAGGGTTACTTTCCAAGTGAGATATGCTGGTCTTCAGCGAAATAACCTCAAAGTCAGGGATCATTCTCAACTAAACCAGGCAGCCACTGGTTATTTGGTAACTGAAGATTTACAGAGGACACTTTTTTCCTTGCCTGGAGAACAATCCTCTGGCTGCCTCCAGAACTTGGCAAGAGATAGCAGGTATCACCGCTGTGCTGCTTTCATGCTGAAGGCACAGAAGTTAACAGGGTTGTCACCAGAAAATGCAGAACAGTTGTGAGATTGCTGTAGGTTACACTGACTTCCAAAACCCAAAAGACACCTGCACCCTGACTAGTGATCAACAAGAAGTCTGCATCAAATCCCTCATGTTCAGATGCTCCTCTTAAGCATTTTGAGATTTTTGATTCTGTGAAAACAAAATCTAAACCAGCAGAATAGATGTTTGAGTGTTCCTTACAATTTATGGATCATGCTTACGCTTTAGTGTACAAATACTCCACTATAAATGAAATTTCCATTCCAACAGATTAATATGCAGACTTTACAGAAGAAGCTATGGAAATTGAGTGATTAAGTTAATTGCACCAAATTTGGATTGTTCAGAAATTAATTAGAGAACAGTGAGATGTTTCTGGTCTTGATAACATTTTCTCAGATTTGTATTGCCAGGCTGTTTCTTTTTCTTGAGTGTAAGGTTTAAAATGAACTATGATGAAGCAGATGGCACAACTTTCAGATCAAAGTAGATGGTAAGTACATTATCTTCACACTGATTTTTGATAACCTGACTGATGCACACTGTCTATTGTAGTAACATACAGGAAACTCATAAACATGGTTATACATGTTGGAAAGAGGATAGAAGGGAGCGAGTCCCACACTTTATCAAAATTTCACTGGAAATAAATTCTTCCAGTAGAACCCACTGAAGTAGCTTTAGACATTCTAGAAGATAACACTTCTGTTCAGGATAGGTGGGGCTCTATTCATTAAACAGCTCAGAGGAATAATTTTCATACAATAGTGTTTAATTTTTCACAAGGTATTTTTAACTATGTTCTATTATTAATTCTATGGTGTCACTCAATGATTAATACTTTTTGATAAAATTATTGTCAGGCAACAAAGAACAGGAATTCCAGTTCAAATGTTTGAAATTTCAAAGTGTACAGTATTTCTATAGGTATCAACAATTACCAAAATGCTCTTGAAGGTTAACCTGATGAAGTGGTATGACTTATGCTGAGGTGTGTGCTCACAAGTGCATATTTCAATCTATTTTTTTCTGCATTTAACTAGTTTCACTAACCATCCTCAGAGGCTTCGTGACATGAAAAAAAGGAGAGGTATATGTCCCAAGTAGAACAGAAATTAGTTTCAAAACAAGTAAAAACTAGAATATTCCCTTCACTGGATGTATAAATTAGAAGGTGCTGGGAGATTCATTTACATAGATTGACATTGAGAAAATTATTTCTGGTGACAAACACTGTAGAGATTAAAAGAAATTCTTTCTTGAAAATATTTTGTTTCTCAGTATCCCTAAATTCACAAATAATATAGCTTTTCAACT